AGTGTTGCTTTCTGTTCCTATGGGGGAATGTAGATCAGGAAGAGAGTCATACAGGCAGAGACAATCTTGCCTGAGGGAGGCCTGAGGAAAGAGATCTCCCTTCTAGGCTGACATCCATCCTAGGAATGACTGATTTCCCTACTCCTGGTACTAACTCAACAATATAACCAAACTCAGCTTATGTGATGAGAAAACAGAACGACTCTGGCAGTTTTAATTTGTGGATATGCCCATATAAAACGAAGAAGTCACAGCTATCCAGAAGGAAAATGAGACTGAGGTTCTCTACAAGTAGCAAAAGTGTGTTTTCTTCACCTATAGAACTGCCACAATAACAAGAGACAACACTGTAATAAAGCAGGGCTCAGCTTCAGTGAGAGCCTGGTAGGAATCTGGCTCAATACACACTAGCACTCAATCATGCTGAGCAGTAAGAGCTTAGGGGTACATAGCAGAATATACTATTGAAACGTTCCTGGACCCCTACTCTTGAGAAACAAGCTTTCTATGGAGACATAGTAAGCAACCTTGTATGATTTACCATTTTTACCACCAAATAGTGAAAGCAAAAGAGATAGAAGGAGGGAAACACTGACCATGCAAGCTACCTGTTAATGTCTTACATTTATTTGGGGCTAGGTTTCTTGGGCACTCCTCACCTTATTTGATTTTTTAAGAATTTTAATTTTAAAAAGATTAAGTAATAAATAATAACAAGTAGGTTTTCTGCATCAGATTCTATAATAATGACTAGGGAGAGAGAGGGAGAGAGAAATCTCTAGAATAGTCATAATCAAACAGAGAAGGATCTCCTCAATCAAAGTTCTCTTCCCACAATAAATATCTCCCCCACCATGATGGACAAGTTGGGGTGGGTGGACGTGTGGACAATCTCGATGCTGTGATGCCACTCCTTCAAGTGTCAGCGCTCGCTGAGCTGGTCTGGTGGACCAGGCAGGTGCTCTTGACATTTCAAGATGGAGAAGTGCAGGAGAATTACCTGGCTTGAGAGAGATGCCCGCTCCCTAGAAAAGGGGTCCAGGTGGCCAGGAGGAAGGTAAACCCAAGGGCATGAGCAGGGGAACAATGAGTTTTAATTTCAGTAAGACAGAGAGGAAAGACTATCTTACGTAAATGGGCTAGGAAGTCTTCATAGTCAAGGCAACAGAAAATTGGTTTTACAGTGGGAAAAAATGAGGTTGAAGAGGTAATAATGGGTTATGGGGCAAGCTCTCTGATGACGTAAATTGTGGGTGGATATACAACAAAAACATGAAACTATTTCTCCCAAGGGTGAGGCTGAGCTAACCTTAATAGTAGAGTCATTATGATTATGTAATTTAGGGGAAAATGACACACAAAACCTGTAAAAAGAAAGTGTGAAAACAAAACAAAAAAAAAAATAAATAAAAAAGTAAAAGGAAGACAGCATGACAGCAGAACAATGAAAAAAAAAAAAGAGGATATAAAATCAGTTCTTGGGTCTAAGGCAACATTTCCCCAATCTTCAAGTTAGATGAGTGATTTTTCAAAATGTTTCAAACAATTGCTTCATGTAGTGTTAAAAATTCTGCCTCAGGAAACCCCAAGGGAGGTAGAGCTAGGGTGAAGGATGAATGGAATAGGTTTCTAGGTCTGGGGCTCCACTGCCTCTCCAAAACAAGTTCCCACTGTGTATGTAAGTGGTTACCATAAAATGATTTGGCTTCTAGAGCATAAAACAACTTTCTAAATGATGGTATCTCGTGGTGGCCATTTAACCCAATTCTTGAGATAATATCCATGGTGGGGCCTCCTTGACATCCCTACAAGTCAACTGAAAAAAAGTTTAAATGGCTTAACTCGCCAACCAACTTGACTCTCTCATCCCCCCCTAACACTCAGTTACAAGAGTATATTTACACTGGCAACCAGCCCCATGTCAGTTTTTTGCTTACTGTGAAGCGGCAGGCACATAACTGTTAGTGGAAATTATTTTAGTTATTCAACTTTGCCCAGAAAAGTATAAGAACCAGTGAATCCAAACCCCTGGAGTTCTACCCTTGCCTCAGACATCAACTTGCTTCCTCAGAAGATGGTCTATGGTTCATTTTTATTTGTCTGGTTCCTGAAGGAATTCTGCCACCACCACCAATTTTCCACCTTTGCAACCTCTTTGGAATCTTTGGCCAACCCCGCTTCATCATCTGAATTCTAAATAAAAGGAAAACTGGTAGGTGTCTTTCTTTTGTACTTATGTGGTAAATTTCAGCCAGTGCCACGAGGATTCGGTTACTAAATTTGGTTTAAATGAAAACAGTTTTCATTGTAACTCTGACCTAAATTGGAATTGGCTTATAGACCTGTCAATACTATTGATCAGAATTAATTCATGTGGAATGGGACAGGAATACTCCAAATTTCCTTGTTTCTTGAACTCCATAGCTTTCCAGTCGCTTGTAGAATTTTCCTGATCCACTAGGTCTAAGTGTCATTGAGATGTCTCAAAATCCTACACATTTTGCCATTTCTAATTCTTAATAGATTTATAACTTGGTTCTGCACTATAGTTCGAGTATTATACTTCTAAATCAAAAACATTAATCAATTTTCATGTCCTTGTACCAGAATGTCTACATATAATAGAATTTCTTAGAAACCCCTAGATCTTTGCTAATCACATTAGTAAATTCTTCCTTGGTACCCTATCTTATTATGGCAACAACATGTGCTTCAAATTTTGGCCACTCACAAGTTATTTCTTACAGAAGAAGGAGTACATTGCATTCGACTAAATGATGAGCATATGTTAGCACGCAGACACACACATGAACATACTTTGAGTCAAAGTCTGCTATTGGGACCGTAATCCATCTGGCCAATGAAAGTTATAGATGTGCATTTGAGGGCTCGCTGTACTAATTCACATAATTAATAAAACTTGTTCAAAATGTCAGGCTCATATTGCTATATTTACTTATAGTATCTCTACCTTAACTAATAGAGTCATTTACTGTTCCTCAATTCAAGCTGTGGCTTATGTCCCTTGGAGGCTTTCTGTCTGAATCGATTGCAGTTTGCGGTCATCACGCCCTTGCATGCTCTAGCCACCATGTGCCCAGTTGCAATCTTTCTTTGAAGTACTGAAGACATCTCACCAGACAATATTTACCTTCCAGGATGCTTCATCATTCCTTTGGACACCTGCTAAACCTGACCACACTTGAAATTTCAAGTGTTTTCTGCTCTTAAAAATAGGAAACATAAAAAGGTGAGGCTAAGCAGGAGTTCTGTATCATTCTTAAGCAAACTACTTTGCACATTGTATGCCCCTGGTTTATAATTTTACAACAAAGAAGGAATACTTGTGTTTGGCCTAGGATGATTTAAATGCTTAATGAAGAGCAGACCCACACCACAACTGCTCCTCCTAGAACCCAATGAAGTCTATTTCTTCCTAACCTTCACATTGGTAACATCCCTTTTGATAACCTGCAGCCACGATGGTAACAAAGACCTCTGAGGAGAGAACATTCCTCCCCCAGTGACCAAGTGTAGTGAGTTGAACTGTGGCCTCCAAAGAGATATGTCCAAGTCCTAATCCCTTAAACTTATTAACATGACTTTATTTGGAAAAAGGATCTTTGTAAATCTAATTAAGTTAAGGACCTCAAGATGAGTTCATCCTGGATTATCTGGGTTGGCCCTAAATCCAATGACAAGTGTCCTATAAGAGAATGGTAGAAGGAGATTAGAATTATGGACATAGGGACCGCTGGGTGGCTCAGTCGGTTAAGGCTCAGGTCATGATCGCAGGGTCCTGGGATCAAGCCACTTGTCGGGGTCTCTGCTCAGCAGGGAATCTGCTTCTCCCTCTCCCTCTGCCTCTCTCCCCAGCTTGTACTCACTCTATCTCTCTCTTTCTCAAATAATAAATAAAATCTTTAAAAAAAAAAAAGAAAAAAGAAAGAAATATAGACACAGACACAGAGCAGAAGGCCATGTGAAGATGCAGCCAAAGACTGAAGTAATGCTCCACAAACCAAGGAACACCAGAAGCCACCAGAGGCTGCCAGAGACAAGAAGCATTCTACTCCTGAATCTTCAGAGGAAGCACAGCCTTGTTGACACCTTAATTTTGGACATCTGGCCTCCAGAACTATGAAAGAATAAATCTCTGTTATTTTAAGCCTCTAAGTTTGTGGTAAATTGTTATGGCAGCCCTAGGAAACTAATACACCATGACTTGCTATCCCTCTGATATAGCAAACAAAAGTATAGGATCATTGAGTGTCAACAAATGTTACCTTTTAGTATAGGAGAGGAAAAGCAAAACCTGGGTATAGGTATAAGGCTGGAAAGTGGAAAATTTTGTTGCATGATATAAAGCTGACGGTATGATAGGCTGTTCCATTTCAAAATAAGAGGAATTGACATAGTGACACCTGAACAGGAAAGTCAAAGAAAGATCATTGACTTGGAAGGCAGTTTAACATAGTCAATGATCAGGTCAGAGTATTTTTTTTACAGATCTTGGGCTATAACGAAAAAAACACTGCAAAGAGTAAAACCTTATAAAATCCCCCAAATACGAGACTGAATAAATAGCACATCTCCAGGAAAGTAGGGAGAGTAAAGCGCCTTCGGTGTGTCTTGATTTTGGAAGGGTCAAGGGACTCTCAGTGTGTCATGATCTTGTCCACAGATAGGATTCCCTGAGATGGACACATACACTTCTTGTAGCTTGATCCCAGTGCATCTGCTCACAGACTGCACTCTTGTGTGGTCTACCAATGTCAGCATGAAATTCCAAACTCACCATATAGTTTAATGTTTTTATTGTTCCTATTAATTTTTAGAAATACTGAATTTTTTTTAGCTCAAGCTGTTCTATTTTTGTTTACATGTGATTATTTCTCATTAGGTGTAAAATAGGTCAGGTGTCTGTGAGTGCACTGGTCTGTGAGAACTCACCAGAAGATAGCAGAGACGAGGCTCTCACTGCGGGAGAAGTGGTCTGGGACCATTTGGTCAGAGAATTCCTCTTCGGGGTACTCATCTTGCAATGGATGTTGGAGGAGGGAAGACGGGGGCTCTGCATGGTCACCTGTTTTTGGCTCTAAGACTGGTACTAGAGAAGACTTGGAGGGCTCTGAGCAGAGTCATGAAATAACAGGACCTAAATGGTAAAAGAATCTCAGTAAACGACTCAGTGGAGAATATAGTAGCCTCCCTTATCTGTGGGAGATATGTTCCAAGACCCCCAGTGGATGCCTGAAATCATAGGTAGTATCAAATCCTATATATATACTATGCTTTTTCCTATACATGCATACTAATGGTAAAGTTTAATTTACGAGTGAGACACAGTAAGGGATTAACAACAAAAACTAACAATATTAATAAAGCAATTACTGTAATAAAAGTTACATGAATGCGGTGTCTCTCTCAGACCACTTCTCCTGCAGTGAGAGCCTCATCTCTGCTGTCTTTTCTAGGTTAAAGTGCGGAGGACCTATGGACACCCCTAAGCCAAGAGGTGGGGTCAGGGTGTGGCTATGGGTTTCCATTTGTCCTCTCACCCTGGCCCCAGAACTGTTAGAGACTGGTTTGTGCTTCCCATGTCACTCAGAGAAAAGCTTCAAGTCTTGTAAAGTCCTTCAAGGGTAGATGATACCTCCCTCCCCTGCCTTGTATCTCCAACCTCATCTGCTCTGGGCTCCTGAGCCTTCTAATGGTCCCTGGGGCACTTAGAGGGCTTTGTATCTTGGGCCTTTGCACTGGTGATTGTCTCTGCCTGGAATTCTCCTCCCTTCTTCTCCTTTTCCTGCATTATTTTTCTTCGCAGCACATATCACCTTATCATATGCCATATTATATACTACATAATATTGTATAAAAATATATATGCAGATAATGCTAATATATTATTTTCAAAAAGGTAAAATTATGACTCTCCTATAAATATAAATAAAAACTAGTCAAAGATTTTATTTAGTTCAACAGTAAGTTGTTCCAACAGTTCACTGAGAATTCTTGCAGAGATTTATACTCTTTACTTAACAAAATTCATTTGCATTGCCATGCACAAGAAACATTTGCATTGTTATAGGTAGGAAACTTTTACATTCTGATAAGAATTTATAAACTTCTACAAATTAAATTCTATCCTAACAGAATTGTAGAATAACCTCGTCAATCAAAGGCAATCAAGGTGCTCACCTTATAGATTCAGATAATCACGTGAAGATCTTTCAAAAAAGACATTCCACTGAAAGGACACCAAGTGATCTCTTTTCCCATTTCTAAGTCTTGGACACATTCAATCCCACCGATAATTATATACTCATATTCTACATGAATATACTAACTAGCATATACTATATATTAATATATGACTCTCTTCCCATACTAGAATGTTCCTTGAAAAGCAAAGATTCTTACACTTTCTTTCACTGCTGTATCTCTTGTTTCTAGAATAATGGCTAATCCATCGTATGCATTTAATAATTTTTTTGTTAAGAGTGAATACATGACTCCAAAAGTGCAGGCAATAACTGTATGGCATAGAGGAGTCTAAATCTACAGAGAAAAATAATGGTTATCCCATCAAAGTGCTATAGTCTGCAGAGATGTCAGTCACATAAAATTTGCCCTAAGTTTATATTATTAAATAGAATGCTTAACTGCAGATCTTCAGCCCTCTTCAGAGCTTCAGCCAATCCCCCAAACAGTGGCTTCTCACATTACATTTACTTAATAAATATACCCTAGTGTTAATATGTATATAATATAAATACACACCCTCCCCAAAGGTAAACTTAAATTTTTACCCATTGGGAGCAGAAACTGCTGACTTGGTTATTTCTCCACATCTTAAAAAATCTTGGGATCTAGGAGGCTAGGGTGCTTAATTACATTTGGTAGTCCTCCCTTATCCATGGAGGATACCTTCCAAGAACCACCGTGGATGCCTGAAACCACGGCTGGTACTGAACACTCTATATGCTATGTTTTTTCCTATGCATGCATACCTATGATAAAGTTTAATTTATAAATTGGGCACAGTAAGAGATTAATGACAATAAGTAATAATAAAATGGAACAGTTATTACAATATGCTGTAATAAAAGTTATGTGAATGTGGTCACTCTCAAAATATCTTGTTGTAGTGTACTCACCTTCTTGTGATGATGTGCGGTGATAAAGTGCTAGGCGATGAGATGAAGTGAGGTGGATGATGAAGGCACTGTGATGTAGCTACTACTGACCTTCTGATGATACATCACAAGGAAAGTCATCTACTTCTGGACTGTGGTTGACCATGAGTAACTAAAACTGTGGGTAAGAGGGTACTACTGTATATGTTTCTTACAAACTTTGAAGAATAATATTTAAGGACATGAAATGTTTTCTATAAGGACATTTTTGATTTTTGGTTGCCCCTTCCTACTAAATTATTGGCTGTTCCAGAGGTAGGGCCATTCCCCACCATGCCCCCTCTCCCCATAAGAGCATGAAGAAACAACCATTCTAGCTTTTGACATATTTGGTTTCTTACCAGAAGGGCTCTTCAATTCAGCTATTTGGATTCCAGGTCAGACTTTTTTTCAGGGGGCCTTTTTTTCCATTTTTGGGATGTCTCTATGATAGACCAGCTGTCTTTACAAATCTTATTAACTAGTATTAAAAAAAAACAACAACAAAGCAACAAAATAAGCCCTCTCTCCAAAAAGCTCATCAACACTCTAGAAACCTCAAAAATGTTAAAGATATTCTTATAAGCAATTGTCATAGAAAATTCTTCACTCAGCTAAACCGCTAGTGCATTGAGTGCAAGATTTAGAGGTCTAATTAAAATCCTACTTCATAAGGAGGAAATCCAAGATTTCTAAGAATTACCAAAAGGGGGAGTAGGTCTATTGATTTCAGCCCAAGAAAGATATACAGAAGAAAATATGTGGGAGGAAAGAAAATAAACAAATGTTGATTAATTATTTATTATGTCCAGTATGCTAGTCACTTTCAAACACTGTTTCATTTACTTTTCAGAATATTCCTAAGAGGTAGTTATCAGCCTCCTCCTCAACCTCATCACCATCTTATAAATTAGGAAATGGAGGATCATAAGGTTGATATCTTGGCCAAGGTCATGGAGCTGGGGGGTAGCAAAGGCAAGATGCAGAACAGGTGTCTGGCACTCCCGGTCCTTTGCTTCATGGGAGTAGGCAGGCTACAGCCAAGGTGATTCAACTCCGTTCTGCTTTGATGTGGGAATTTACAAATTAGTAGCAAGGCTTAAAATCCTGCAGGAAGAAGAATTACAGAAGGGACAGATTTTAATCATATTCATACTTAAAGGATACATTTTCAAGGATTTTACAGTGACCCATTGTAGATGTGTAGCATTGGTATCTGGTGAACTTCACATTAGGACTACAAAGGGTTTAATGGATGCCATTAATCAAAGGTTTCTTGCCTGGGAATTTCTTACTTTCTCTTGTTCAATCAAAAAGGGCATTGCCAGTAGAATTTGCCATTCCACTGAACTTAACCACTGTATATACAATATAAAGAAGGTTCTTGACTTGGCTCTAAAGAAAATAGCAGTGTGGCTTTGGGCCTCACTTTTCTGTATATGTAATATTTTGCTCCAGTCACAAGGAAATGATCACAATTCTCTTACCTGGACTCACCGGGCAATTAAGGATACAAATAAGGTAGATGAGAAAATGTTTTTGAAAACCTGATAATACATTTATTGAATGATATTATGGTAAGAAGTGATAGAATACAAAAACCAAGGTTTTGAACTTGCCCTTCTCTTCAATGGCCTAGCGTTGACAGCAAGTTCCCTATTGCTTAGGCTGTCCCTACCCGCAATAACAAGGAGAGTCATAAATGTGCACAGACCTGCATCAATTAATCCTCACGAAAACAAAGAATCCAGTATTACTTCCATTTTTTAGGTGAGACCATTAAAGGCCCCAAATTTCAAATAGCTGGTTCAAAATCATCTAGGAGAGACTCAATCTTACATCACTTAGCTCTAAAGGGTATGCTTGCTTATCCATGCCGTATCCCGTAACTCTCGAGATTATTGTGGTTTAGTGCACACATCTGTACATGGAAAGCCTCATTCAATGATAGGGTTTGGACAGTGCCCCAGACAGGGTGACCACGCTCCACTGCAGCCATGCTTAGAAGGCAGAGACCCCCCAGGGTCTGGGAAGAAGAATTTCTTTCGTTTGGGAGAGACGGCGTGTTAAGTCTCTCAGCTGCTATAGATGCTCTTTAGTGGCTTAGCTCAATTGGCTTGTCTCGTTAGCTTGTTGCTTCCCCCTATCTCAAAGGACAGAAAATGGAACGCTTAGTTTTTATCAGCAAGGAGTTGGGAAAGGCCAGCATTTGGAATAAACTCTGAACCTCACCCAACCCCTTCTGTTCACACAAGAGCCTGTGTTCAGTCCCCAAGCTTATTAGTTCATGACGGTGAGAGATGAATTTATAGGAAGATGAGTGGAAAAAGAAGTCTCTGCATTGGACACTTAGCTGGGAATCACTTAGCATAGACTCTGAAGGAAGTTTAGAAACTTGGTTTGGATGAAATCAGCATCAAGTGCCTCTTTCCTCCATTTTAACGAATGAATCACATGACTTGACAAGGCAAGAATGTCTCTAGTCCTGTTGGATATGATGAAGGGCGGTAAGACAAAAGAAAAGACACTATGAGTTGAGAGAAACGTTTTTCCCCTTTCATAAAAAGCGGTAGAAACAAAGAGAAATGAATGAAAAAGAGTGGTGGCCATTTGAAAATCTGGTTTTTGCCTATCAGATGCTTGTGTGTCTAGATCGACATTTTAAAATAAACCTGAACATTCTCTCAAGCCTAAATTTAAGTCGCCTATTATTTGTTCTGCCTGTCTTTATCATGATTCAGGCTTCATATTTCATTGTGTGGAAGGAGCATGTCGCAGGCTAATGGTCTAAATACCTACGTCTCATTTTATAAATATTTATTGCCAGCTGATGTGCTCCTATCTTTGAAGTCACGGGCATGGCCCACTGTGGGCCTGCCCTTCCCTCCTCAGCCTGTGGAGAGTCACTACCCGGCAATCTTGTTTACATGAGGATCACTTCAACACAGAGTTAATTTTTTTTATCTACATCTTCTCACATCACTCATCTTCGCTTTGTTACATTTTTCTCCCTTCTTCACCTCACATCTTACACAGCGAAGACCAGAAGTAATAAACCAAGCAACATGATCTGTGCTGTTGTTGAATTAAAGTAGTGGTTCACACTGAGCTGATCATTCATAACCTCTCCTGAAGTTGCTACAGGTACCAGCCCGGTCCAGGGGAGAGGAATAAACAAAACTCAGGGAAGAAACTCAGAATAAAAGAGGAGAGTGTGGAGGATCTTGACTATCAAACTAAAACCCCCGGACACAGTCCTACTGGCCACGGACAGTTGTTGGAGATTTTGAAGCAGGGAAAGCAAGTGAAAAAACAGTGCTTCGGGAAAATTAACCAGATATTGCACGAGAAGGGTTGCCATAGTTCGGAGGAAGAGAGAGCAATTAGGAGGTAACTGCAAAAATATAAATGAGAGCAGATGAAGACCTGGATATAAATATAGTTCCATTAATATTTAGGCACTGGATTAGGACAGTGGAAATAGATAGGCAGGTGCTGATGGGAAAGATGCAACATCATAGAATTGATAAAATTTGGGACTGTTGGAAATAGGGCAAAGGTGAGTGAAAAATCTAGTAACAATTTTGACAATAGGGAATAGGGAAATGAGAGTGATATTAACTAAAACAAGGAAGAGAAGCGTGATTAGAACAGAAGTTGATATGAATTATTCATTTGGGGACATTATAAATTTTAAGTGTGACTAGAGCCTGAATAAAGAGACATCCACAGAGGTAATGGGTGGGAAAGGCAGGCAGGAGTTAAGTGTTTGGATGGCTAAGACATGGCAGGTGAGGAAAGAAAGGCACGAGGATTAGCTTCTGGTTTCTGGCTTGGATAGCCATATGGTGGTGACAGAGTGAAGGGAAGAGTGTTGAAGAACAAGGGAGGGTGCCCACATATTCATGTTGAATTTAAGTTTCTTGGGAGACCTCCGGGTGAACGTTCAGAAAGGCGAAGTCACCTGCCTTGAGCTCAGTGGATGGTCTAATTGAGCAATCTAAATCTGGGAGAAGCGACAAGAATTTAAAACACCATTTGGGGAGTAGAATTCCCTTCTGGAAAGATGAAGTAGACATACCTTTTTCTATTCCTCCTACTAAGTAAAGTGTAAAGCCTAGACATTATATATGAAACAAACCTAAGAAAGTTCTTAGAGGTAGAAAGAAGACCTCAGGATGAGAGGAAACATATGGTAGGCAGTTTCCTGGGTTTTCTTCTTTCTCCTCTATCTCAGACTTGGAGCTCAAGAAGTTGACAACCTGGAAGCAGCAATAGACGCAGATAGAGGAGCCCAAGAAAACCTGCTGTTCCTCATCAAAAGACCAGGACAAGAGCAGCCTGGCAAGTCAGAAAACTAAGTTTAGACAATGACTGCTCTACTCCTTCCAGCAGAGCATCACAGAAAAAAACTGTAGCCTGGCCCCAACCCACACTAGCTAAGGTCAAGTGGGAAGCCCAGGCTTTTACCTGCATGAGGCTGTAACAAGGTGCCTCAATATCCTTGATCCCCACCAACTAATAATGAGCTCCATCCAGGCTCGTGGTATCTGAGAACACCACCTGGGGAGCTGGGACAACCAGCCCCACATGGCAGTCATGAGGCACCCCTCCCATCTGCCTCCCTGCTGGGGGTGGTGGCACCAGAAGCCTAGTGGAGAGTGAGGACTGTCACCATTGCCCAGCAGTAACAAAGCCACCCCTACCACAGTATCAATGAATATGTGGAAAATGAAATTAAAAAGGTGAAAACATTTACAGTCACTCAAAAAATGAAATACTTGGGTCTAAATCTAACAAAACCTGCCTAGGACTTGTATGCCAAAAGCAATCAAAGGGGATTTAAATAAATGGGGAGACATATTGTGTTCATGGATTGGAAGACTCATCACCGTAAAGATGCCAACTGTCTACAAATTGATATACAAGCTCTTCATTTTCCATTAACTTCTTAAGTCAGAATAATCTGATTTCTGCCTCCACTGCTCCAATAAAATGGCTCTCCCAAAAGTTACAGGTGACCTCCTTGTTGCTAAATCCAACAGATATTTTTTGGTCAATATCTTCCTTGGTCTTTTTATTTTTGTGGCATCTGTTTCTTTGGAGCACTCCTTTCTGGTACACATGATCTTGCTAACATTCTTTCCTAGATTCTTATCACTTGTAGAGACACATTCTTGAGCTTCCATGAAAACTCCAATTCCTTGAATTTTTATGCTGCTCTAGGTCCCTCATCTTTCATTCTCCCCTTGAAAATGTGTCCAAACCTTTGGTTTAATTACTCTCACGTCTATACGGGACCAAGACCTCTCTCATGTATGCAGACCCACCTATCCAGCTTCATATTGCACAGTTTCATAAGATGTGCCATTTGTTCATTCATTTATTCATTTTCTCATTCATTTAAATATTTATTGTGCTTTTTGTGTCAGACCTTTGTTGGTGTTAGGGCCAGAGCTCTAACCCAGAGCTCCTGCCATCAGGAGGCTCATACTTTGGAGTCAATACAACATTTCTCTGCACATCATTTCTGCTTCTCACTTGGGCTTATGAAAATGTCTGCTTTTCTTTTTCTTTCTCCACACGTCCTCAAGGTGTGTTCCTGCTACCGCTACTACCAGGCCCTCCCGGAGAGGACCATCCTCAGCAGGTACAGCTGTCCTGCACTGTGGGTTGGCCTCTCACCCTCAGGACACCAAAGTGAACCATGGCTGATGACTCCGTAGAGGGGAAGAAAGATAGTCCTCTCTTAAATTCTGTACTGCTGCTGTTAGATGCCTCTTCCCCAAGTCTTGAGCATCTCATTCCATCCAGCTCATCTAATAATTTAAGTGCCTAACCAGTTTGTGCCACATTTTAAGGGATATGTAAAACTGAAATGGAACAACCAGTCTCCTGATACTCAACTCACAAGACCAAGTATAATCTTCTAGCAGCTCCTCTAGGTGCCCCTGCTGTCATGCCCCTCCACTGCTTTCAGACTTTCTCCCAATCTCTCACTGTTGGGTCCTCTGCCATCTTGCTGGACTCACCTCATTTCCACCTCCCAGCTAAGAGGAGCTCTTCCAACATCCTACCAGACTTGCCATGTGTTTTTGGCTCCATTTTAACAACTTTCTTAGCCCTGACTGGCCTCACTGACAGCCTCCCAGCTCTGGGTTCAAATCCATATGAAGTTCCTGGTTGGTCTTTCTCCTAGTGATGTTCATCAAGATCTCTGTCCATACTGCTGATCAGAAATACCCTCCATGCCCGCACACACCTGGCTTCTCTCCCCTTGCAACCATCCTTCTGCCCCCATGGCCCCCCACTTCTGTCTTTCTAGCATGGTGCCTCCACCCTTCACTTCACTCAGAGTCCACATGCCCCATATTTACTTTTTTCTTTCTCTATCACTTCCTGTATATATGCCATTCCATACAGCCTGCCTCTAGTAAGTTGCCTTATGTTGGCATGCATCCTTTTGACACAGCTGAAGGTTCCTTCCCTGCAGGGGTCACTGGAGGAGAATTACAGAGATTCCTGTAATCTATACAAATATATAACAAAAAAGGGAAGAAAATTGATTCAAATTTCCCATGGACATCTGTGCACACTAGTGGACAGTGGGCAAGCAATGGGTTAAGATGCAGACAGATCTGTTCTGGAATCCTCTCTCTGCCACATACAAGCTGAATGACTTTGGCAACGTTAATAAATAGATCAATAGTAATAGTGTCAGCTCTGATTCAGGGTCGATTTCTTATCCTGAACTTTATATATTTTACATCTAAATTCCACAATAACTCAAAGGAAGGTGCAGCTCTCTAAAAATTATAAATAAGAAGTAAGACTTAAAGAATTTGGCAGGATTGAGTTCCTCATCACGTGTGCTTCATAGGGCTTCTCATGACACAGCAGCCGGCTTCCCAGGGAGTGTGTGGTGAGAGAGAGAGAGACAGAAATAGAGACAGAAACCAAAGGCTCTTTTATAACTTGTCTCAGATGTGACACACCATCACTTCTGCAGCATCCTATTGGTCACACAGATCAACCCTGAGACAATGTGGAATGTGGGATCACACCAGCGTGTGAATACCAGGAAGCAAGGTTCACTGGGGGTTATGTTAAAAGCTGGCTGCCACACCAACAGAATCAGGACTGGTTAATATTTTTATATTTATAAGAGTAAAACTTGCACCCCATTAAAAAATCAGAAGTAGCAAGCATATAATACAAAAAACAATCCCTCATATGCATTCCCTACTCTGTAACAGTCCCACTTCCCGAAGATAAAGGCTTTTTAAACTTCAGCTTTTTGTTTTTGAGTCACTATTCTAAAGTGGTAAACAATACACATTTATATGATCTTTGATTAACTTTAGAAACTGTCTTACTCTGAATGAGGACTTAGCATTCTGAACTCCTATAACCCAACAACTGCCTTCCCCGCCACGCACATGCACATGAACACCCTTCCACTCTTTCATCCTTCCAATAGACCATAAAGCCTTCTTGCCTAATGTGGAGGGGGTTGGTTAATAGAAGCAGCTGGTTAAAGAGGGTAATTATACAAGAGGATGAATAGTTTTAACATTTGGTTTTAACTTAGAATATGTCAATGTGTGTTCATTCACCAAGCTCTAGATACAGGGCCATGGCCCTTTCTTTGAGAGTGGATCTGCTGATTGAAGGTTGTCATCATTTTCCTGTATGAATCACATGAATAATGCATCTTCTACCATTTACAGTTTTGGAGTCTTTAAAGTAGAACAAGAATTTAAAGACCCCTGCAAAATTTTATGAACGTAGAATCTTTCTCTATTTTGTCATTTTTCTTCACTCTTTTGTAATCATTTCTCCCATGGCTAATTTAGCCACCAATGTTTTTAGTGATTTTTTTCCCTTACCTCTATAGAAACAATTCATTTGATTGTTAGTTTGCTTTTTTGTGTTTTGCTTTACTCGTATTTCAAGTTTTTATGCAGCATAATCACAAATACAACTGGCACATACAGATTTGGGAACAAACACAACTGAGCCTTAGTAACCATACAACTCAACCAGTGAGAGCAAAATTGCACAGGTATTGTACAGAGTGACCCACTAGCAATACACATTCAATATTCTGAGAGCATCAGACAACATATTTTACTCAGGAAATGGGAATCATCCATCAATCCCAGAGTCAGTTCAGTGGGATCCATTAAGAGATTTTCTGTGTTACTTCCTGTCATAGCAAAGTAAAGTTGAGAAGAGGATTGTTATCTATCACAAGAACTTAAATTGTTAGCATCACAACAATTGAGGGGACAAAGTATTCAGAAGAAGCAGTCATAAAATTCAAGAAAAGCCAGGAACTATTTAGTTTAGGTGCAAACAGCTCTGTCCCCCTAAACGGTAGCTACTGAGATTATCACTGAATAATAATCCCTATATCATCATTCTCACCCCCCCCAAAAAAAGCCTAAATTATGATCAGTGTGGTCCATTTAAGGATGTAGAAAGTGGGGACACTGTATAAAGATTTCCTTCAAGAATACTGAAATGTGAGTTTGGTACTTGTATTTTTGACTCTCCACCTTTCACCCTGCCTAATCCCAGGTGTCTAGTAGCAATGTGATTTAGGGAACTGACTCTTCTCAGGAAACTGGTTCTGATTTGTCTTAGTCAATCATGGTCTTCTGTCCTTCTGATTGGCCTGGACCAACTTGAGCCAGAAAGTCACTAGGAAAGATTTACCCTCTCTGTGAAAGGTCCTCACTGTTTTTTTTTTTTTTAAAGATTTTATTTATTTATTTGAGACAGAGAGAATGACAGAGAGAGAGCACGTGGGAGGGGGGAGGGTCAGAGGCAGAAGCAGGCTCCCCGCCAAGCAGGGAGCCCGATGCGGGACTCGATCCAGGGACTCCAGGATCATGACCTGAGCCGAAGGCAGTCGCTTAACCAACTGAGCCACCCAGGCGCCCAGGTCCTCACTGTTTTTAAGAGAAAACCATGGGGGAAGGATTCTATGCCGGATGCGAATGAAGATGAATAATGCCTAGGTTTTTGCTAAGGGTTTTGTAGAGATCATGAGCCTGAGGACAAAGGTAAAATGAGAGGAATGATCAGAGAATTTTAAAGAAATAGAGCTGGTGTGCCCGGAAACTTGGTTCCAAATTACATGACAACAAATGTATTTATTATTTCAACCTGTTTGGTCAATTTCTACTTCTTATAGTCACACATACACTAATTTCTTTTCCTTTTTTTCAATATTTAAAGATTCTTCTTTAATTATGAAAAAAAGTTCTTTATATGGGACATGTCAGTTTCCATCAATTCAAAGAAATTAGATGCTACTTCAAGAGATGGACTAAGCTGAAAAGGATGGTGATAACAGGATTATGTAAGAAAGCTGTTTGGATTAAAAACAAGACCCTTCCCTGATTGGTATCACAGAGAGCAAGCAACAACATCTACTCTCAAGACACCCTGTGGGGGCCACTGTCAGAACTTGAGTCCTAAAATGCACGGGCCAAGGGTCCGACAGAAGGAAGTGTTTCCAGTAATTCTTGGAGGGTGGGGCCATAAAAATATAATTGGATATTTCTAGCAGGGGTCAATGGTAAACTCACCTTGTCAGACACTGAGCTCTGCCACTTAGATGTCTTTTCACTTTTGGAAATTTTCCAAAAAATCCTATCAGGTAGATATTATTTTTATCCTAAATTTAAAGAAGAGAAGGAAACATAGTTATTGAATTTAAATAATTTGCCAGTGTCACAGTGCCACTAAGTTGCTGACCTCAAGTTTGTATTACCTACCCTAGAAGCTATTCTCTTCACTGTTTTATAAGCTTCATGTAATTTAATTATTTAATTCATAGGCTAAAAAAAGGAAGATTAAAACTCAGAAGCCCAGTATCACAGGGCAGGCATAACTATAATGATTAGAAATATCTTCCAGCACTTTCCTCTACTGACCCTTAACTCAACTTCACTTGTTCTTTTTTTTTTTTTAAGATTTTATTTATTTATTTGACAGAGAGAGAGACAGCGAGAGAGGGAACACAAGCAGGGGGAGTGGGAGAGGGAGAAGCAGGCT